AGCTGTAATGCCACGGCACTCTACCCAGGGGGACAGCTTGAGGCTCTGTCTCAAAAAAAAAGAAAAAATTACTTTCATTGCTACTTCATAACTGTAATTTTGCTACTATTATGAATCATAATGTAACTATCTGATATGCAGGATGTATTTTCATTGTTACAATGGGCTTGACCCATAGGTTGCAAACTGCTGGCTTAAGTGATTCTCTTGCCTCAGCCTCCTCATTAGCCAGGACTACAGGTGCCTGGCTATTTTTATTTATTTATTTATTTTGAGATAGAGTCTCAGTATGTTGCCCTTGGTAGAGTGCTGTGGCATCATAGCTCACAGCAACCTCAAACTCTTGGGCTTTAGCGATTCTCTTGCCTCAGCCTCCCAAGTAGCTAGGACTACAGGTGCCTGCCACAATGCCTGGCTATTTTTTTTGTTGCAGTTGTCATTGTTGTTTAGCTGGCCGTGGCTGATTCAAACCCACCAGACTCAGGGTGTATGTGACTGGCACTGTAACCATTGTGCTATGGGCACTGAGCCTGCCCAGCTATTTTGAGAGATGAGGTCTCACTCTTTTTTTTTTAATTATTAAATCATAAAGAGGTAGATCATGTATACATTAATGCATTTATGGGGTACAATGTGCTGATTTCATATACAATTTGGAGAGAGGTCTCACTCTTACTCAGGCTGGTCTCAAACCTGTAAGCTCAGGCAATCCACCTCTCAGAGTGCTAGGATTACAGGTGTGAACCATGTGCCCGGCCACTAATGTTATCCTTTAAAGCAGTGCTTTTCAACTGGTGTGCCATGAAAAAAGAACTTTTTTTATGAGACAGAGTCTCATTTTATTGTCCTCGGTAGAGGGCCATGGCGTCACAGCTCACAGCAACCTCCAGCTCCTGGGCTTAGGTGATTCTCTTGCCTCAGCCTCCTGAGTAGCTGGGACTACAGGCACCCACCACAAGGCCTGGCTATTTTTTTTTTTTTTTTTTGGTTGTTGCAGTTTGGCTGGGGCTGGGTTTGAACCTGCCACCCTTGTTATATGGGACCAGTGCCCTACTCACTGAGCCACAGGCGCCACCCATAACCTTAGCCATTGCTTTTTTTTCCCTTTTTTTTTGAGACAGAGCCTCAAGCTGTCACCCTGGGTAGAATGCTGTGACATCACAGCTCATAGCAACCTCCAAGTCCTGGGCTTAAGTGATTCTCTTGCCTCAGCCTCCCAAGTAGCTGGGACTACAGGCGCCCACTACAACACCTGGCTATTTTTTGGTTGTAGTTGTCATTGTTGTTTGGCAGGCTCAGGCTGGATTTGAACCCAATCAGCTCTGGTGTAGGTGGCTGGCGCCTTAGCTGCTTGAGCTAGAGGTGCTGAGCCACCATGAACATTTTAATTTTATTTAATTTGTTATTGTTTTTGAGACAGAGTCTCTCTTTTTCTTTCTTTTTTTTTTTTTTGAGACAGAGTCTCAAGCTGTCACCCTGGGTAGAGTGCTGTGGCGTCATAGCTCACAGCAACCTCAAACTCCTGGGCTCAAGCAATTCTCTTATCTTAGCCTCCCGAGTAGCTGGGAGTATAGGAGCTCCCCACAATGCCAGCTATTTTTAGAGATAGGGTTTCGCTTTTGCTCAGGCTCATCTTGAACCTGGAGCTCAGGCAATCCACCCACCTCAGCCTTTATTTTACTTTTTGAGGCAGAGTCTCACTTGTCGCCCTCAGTAGAGTGCTATGGAGTCATAACTCACAGCAACCCCAAACTCTTGGACTTAAGTGATTCTCTTGCCTCAGCCTCCCAAGTAGCTGGAACTACAAGCGCCCACCACAGTGTCCAGCTATTTTTTTGAGATAGGGTCTTGCTCTGGCTCAGGCTGGTCTAGAACCCATGAGCTCAGGCAATTCACCTGCCTCCACCTCCCAAGTGTTAGGATTACAGGTGTGAGCCACTGTCCCTGGCCCCCATAATAATTTTTAAAGATCATTAGTTAATACACCATAGAATAATACTCAGTCATAAAAAGATGGAGACTTTACATCTTTTGTATTAACCTGGATGGAGTTGAAACACATTCTTCTTAGCAAAGTATCACAAGGGCATTAATTAGTACACCATGGGAATACATTCAGTTATAAAAAAGATGGAGAGTTTACATCTTTTGTATTAACTTAGATGGAGTTGAAACACATTATTCTTAGTAAAGTATTACAAGAATAGAAAAGCAAATATCTGATTTATTCAATACTAATATAAAACCAGTAGACGATCTAATACATGCCCACTTGTATTGATGGCATGCCCAATACATGCCCAATTGAATTGAGAACAACTCAATTCAATTCAGATGAGGGGAAAGAGAAGGAGGGAAGGGGATGGGTGTGCTCTCACTTAATGGGCACAATGTAAGGCTATATGGCACAACTTCTGGGTGCAGGACACTACTACAACAAGGACTATACCTAACAAAGGTAAACATTATGACCTAAATGTTTGTACCCTCACATTAATATGAAATTTTAAAAAAGATAAGTAAATTATTTTTCAAGTGTGCTATGAGACAAAGGTTGAAAAACACTGGCATAAGGTATAAGTCAAGATATTTTTTTGAGACCCTATGGCATCATCATAACTCACTGCATCCTCAGTCTCCTAGGCTCAAGTGGTCCTCCTGTCTCAACCTCTCAAGTAACTAGGACTACAAACACACTACCACACCTCATTAATTTTTGTATTTTTCTGTAGGAATGGAGTCATGCTATGTTGTTCAGACTGGTGTTGAACTCCTGGCCTCAAGCAATCCTCTCACATTGGCCTCCCAAAGGGCTAGGATTACAGGTGTGAGCCATTGTGCCCAGCCAAAGTTCATTTTTTTACCTATATGATTGTCCAATTGATGGCACCTTATGTTGAAAACATTGTCAAAGTACAATTTTCAAAAAGTTATGAAGGTTCTTATAAGAATATGGAGTGAGGGCAGTGTCCGTAGCTCAGTGGGTAGGACGCCGGCCACATACACTGAGGCTGGCGGGTTCAAACCTAGTCTAGGCCAGTTAAAACAGCAATGACAGCTGCAACAACAACAACAAAATAGCTGGGCATTATGGTAAGTGCCTGTAGTCCCAGCTACTTGGGAGGCTAAAGCAAGAGATTTGGGTAATCCCAAGAGTTTGAGGTTGTTGTGAGCTATGATGCCACAGTACTCTAGCCAGGGCAACAGCTTGAGACTCTGTCTGGAAAAAAAAAGAATATAGAATGAATACATGTCAAAGATTTATTTATAATAATTCATTAATGAGGAAACAAGCAGGATGGTACAGTATGTTCAAAGAGCATTTGAGGAAATAAGATATTGTGTTAGAATTCTCAGAGAAACAGAACACACAGGATCTCTCTATATACACACACTGTCTCTCTATATATGTATAAAGAACTAACACACAGGATCTCTCTCTATATATATCCTCTCTCTATATATGTATGTATAAAGGAGAGAAAGAAAGAATGAATAAGGGAATTGGCTTATGCAATTATGAAGCTGAAAGTCCCCAGATCTGCAGCAGCAATATGGACACCCAGAAGAGCCAATGATGTAGTTCTAGTCTGGAAGCCAGCAGGCCAGCAGGCTCAAGATCCAGGAAGAGTAATGTTTCAATTCAAGCCCAAAGGCAAGTAAAAAAAGACCAATATCCTTACTCAAAGACAGACGGAGAGACATTCCTTCTTACTCACCTTTTTGTTCTATTTGTGCCTTCAACTGATTGGATGAGACCCATCCACTTGCAGAGGGTAATCCATCTTCCTGGATCTAGTAATTCATATGTTAATCTCACCCAAAAACATCTTCCCAAACACATCCAGAATAATGTTTGACCAACAACACTTTTGGTTGGTCACCCTGTGATCCAGTCTAGTTGATTTGTAAAATTAAATATCATGGGTATTTATAAGGCATTTGAAAAAAGAATGTTAGAATAAGATTGTTAGGTTGGATGTAAAACTGGTTAATGTCCTATAGGACAATAACACTATTATAACCTTCCCTACTTAAGAGAAATCCTTTGCATCATTACCAGTTAAAAATCTATAGATTAACATGTGACTTCCCAGAGTTTTAACCTTTAATCAATAATAGAAAGATAAAGTTTTTTGGTGACTGTGAGGCCAGGGGGATGAAGTATGCTCCTATGCTGGGTAGCATGAGTAGGTAGCTCTGCGGCTTGGGGCTGGAAGCAGGTTGGGGGACATCTACACTGGGTGTAGTAGTGTCCTGCACCCAGAAGTTGTGAAGACATCCATTTATAGCACATGTTAGGCTGATGTGGGTGATGTGAACTGGAATCTAAGCTGAAAATAAAAGTATATTGTCCTGGGTATTTAATCCTTGGCTGGGCCTATTGCCTTCTCTTTCTAGCATTGCTAAGCTTTGGATGATTTTTGCTAGCAAAACAATCCTTTCCCCCACTGTTCTGCAATGTCTCCTTTTTCTCTTCTTTCTTTCTTTCTTTCTTTCTTTTTTTTTTTTTGAGATAGAACCTCAAGCTGTCCCCCTGGGTAGAGTGCCGTGGCATTACAGCTCACAGCAACCTCCAACTCCTGGGCTCAAGCGAGTCTCTTGCCTCCATCTCCCAAGTTGCTGGGACCACAGGGCC